CCGACTTGACAAAGAATTCTCCGAGAATAGGGTCGCCGTTGTGGCCATATTTTAGAGGTGAAGCATGCAACTAGTTCGAGAACTTACTGCTTCCACCTTGGACCCACTGCTGAAGAGTAGCGTCACGGCACTCAGGCAACCAACCTACCATGAATCAGTTGCATACATACTTCACAGTATAATTGTGTACCTTCATGCTGTTGAATGTTGATCATTCCACGAACGATGCGGGCGAACACCTCGGGGTCATGAAGCGACATTAGAGGATACAGGGTACGGTAAGTGTCCCACTGCGCTCGGGGCGTTAGTGATATTGTATCAATGCCACAAAAAATACCAACATTGCAGTAAAAGGAATCATAATAAGGCTCGGTGGAATTCCATTTGGGGTTTTCGCCAGTGTCTACCAATCAGGTCAACGATCGTGTGCTTACAAAAAGGAACATAGCCTACAATCAGCGGGAGAAATATGCGTCCTGTAAAACTAACGGCCCGTGCAACTCGGGCATATTGTGACATTTCAAGTACTCACTGATGAGTAGAACAGTTCAGTAATTTCTTTGTCCACGCCCTGAGTATCGACTTGGATTCGGGATAGAAGTTCGTTCCATGCTTCTCGTGCTGTTGCGACGGTCTTATCGAAATTGAAGTCCGGGATCTCTGATTCAGCATTGGCGCAGGCCTGACCAGAGGAAATGAATGAAACACCGACACGTGCAAGGATGGTCGTGTGAATATAATTAGGAGAGGGCGGGAAAGTCATTAGAGCACCCATCTCAGACGCGAAGCCTGCAAGCCATGCATTTTAAGATACCAAGATGAAGGGTCAAGTAAATACCGGAGTTTAATTGATTGGCCTGTGTGCTATTCTGCACAGGAGTATTCCCCAGCCAAAGCCCGTATTCAGTGGGAGCCTTGAAGTCATGACCGTCACCTTTGAAATCTACACAAGTATAGACTTTGTATCTTCCAGGACCAAACGCTGAAGCAAAACTGCCTCCCCCTAAGAATGACGGTGAGGTGGGACATCAGGGAACATTGAGAGACATTACCTGTGACGCGCCCAGTAGTAGGGTTAATGTTAACAACAGGTGCTGTGGTGTTGTCCATGCCATCGTTCGTGATGTCCACAACAATACGAGGTTCGCGTGACGACGGCGGGAATGTGTAACGGTGAAGTGCAGTACGACCTGAAGCAGTCAACTCCACCTGAACGCCAGTAGACTGCAAGGACTAAGTCGGCAGCACAGTGAAGTAATTTCGCACATACGAGATTCGTCGCAAAGTAACCAGGCGAACCAGCATCGTCAGGAGAACCTGTAGTATGATTAGGACGTTATATTTAGCACACAACCATGAGGTGGGTGTGGTTGGTTACCATCAGGAAGGACTTTCCGTAACGTCTTTCTGGTAAGCAAGGATGTGTTACAGGATGCGAATGAGTCGCATTCAGGCAGAGGCCAGAGCTTAAAGTTGGATAGCGGTGTACCCTTCAGGAAATATTAGCTTTTAAGTGCGTATAGTATTTTGCAGCACCCAAGATACGCACACCACCAGTCCCTGAATCGTGCAGCTGCGAAAAACCGGTAGCATTGAATGTTGCATCGGCATCGTAACCCGCTTGCTGTATGATGTCCGAAACTTGAGGCATCATGAAGAATAAACATTCAATAGCCTTACATTTCCCGGGGAATCAGTGTCAAGCCCGACTTTCACCATCCCATGCGGAAGAGTGGCACCTACTCAAAGATCAGCAGAAGTCAAGGTTGCTCTGTAGAAGCAAACCGGGGAAAACATGTCCTCCATTGGTTGTGCCTATGAAAACATTGACGTAGCTTGCACGGTCCGAGTATATGATAGTTGTGTTTGCTGGCGAAGATGACGCTGTGTCTGTCTGGGAGCGAACAGTTAATTTCGGACGCGAATGCGTAGCTAATCGCGTGTGTGATTGGGCACTTGAATCGGCCGATAGAAAAAGCGCAGAGAGTATCACTAGCCAACGGGCCATGGTGGTAAAGATTTGGGCGCAAGTGAGAGAACTCTTAACAAAATGAACTAGCTTTATAACGAGAGATATTACCACATCTAGTATCAAATTTTGCTGGCAACAAAAACCTTGTAATCCCAACTTGGATGGTTAGCGACAACTATGGTGTACGTACTCCATGTACAGCGATTAAGCTGCGAATAAGAAACGAGTTCCAGCAAGGATATCGCGTCCATTGAGAACGCCACGATGTCTGTGTCTCTTGCGCATCTGAGCAAACGCTGAAAAGTCTGGCGTAAACGAGAGCATAAAGTCAATGGCAGAACTTGCGAGCTGCGCGCGAAGCTGTCGCTCGCACAATGGAGATGTGAAGGAAAAGGAATGATCCGTTTGTAAATGTACTGGAAGATCATGGCCTGAGGGCAAAACCGTCACTCGCACAAGTGGAGATGCAAAAGAAATGATCCATTGGTAAATATACTGGAAGATCATAGCCTGAGGGTAAAAAAGTTGGCCCGGATTTGAAGCTTGAAGTATTGGTCCGACTCGGATAAAGTCAGCCAGTGGAGGTGTAAGGCTCTGTACGGACACAGTATTCAATATTCGATATTCAACATTCGCTGTCATGTGACAGCACCTTATTCATCCGGATGATCCCGGATCTTTGCCTCAAGGATCCAAGATAGTGCGCAGTCCGACAAGCGTTATCGACACTCTCGAGCTGTAGCTAGTATCAGATGGATGATCTCCGTCGCCATCGTTTTCTTTTACTTATTACTTGCCTTGTTGCTCACATATCAGCTCTGTACTACAAAATCTTTCTAACTCCACACGTCAGTATACCATACCATACATCCGCCTTGACAGGTCATGCATGGGTTCTCGAGCTCCTCACAGGCCATCCAGACAGGATCAGACACAGTCTAGGTGTCAACTTGGAGATTTTTGAAGAACTACTGCAAGTTCTACATGCCAATGGCTTTGTTCAATCTCGCAATGGTGTTACAGTTAGTGATGTGCCTGGCCTGGCCTGGGTGTCTCATAGGCCATGGCCTAGGGCTCAGGCCAGGGCTTCTACATAGTAAATGGATTTTTCCAGAATGTACTGTACAGTAGTTACTAAATTAAACTTTGCAACAACCGCATCCGCTGGAAGTCGGCTGAACAACATACCCAGCCTGAGAATGACTCTCACAGTCATGTCTGATGATGACGCAGTTACTGCCGTCACAGTATGTTCTAAACGAACAATCATACCTTCTTCTCGGCTCCTCAATTCCAATAATAGTGCAACACCCGAATTAACTAGCCACAGCAGGTCCAGCGGCCGGTTCAACCAAACACTGCTCCCATGGCAAATCCATGCAATGCCAAGCAAAATGCAGATGACGCTGGCTGGAGTCCAAGTCTCTCAAATCAGGACAAGGATTTGGACAATGAAGATTCCAACAAATCAGTATACAAGGGTAAGTACTATCAATCTTTGTGCCGGTATGCTCACTATTTTATTTTCATAGTCAAGCGCCTTCATTGAGCCAGCGAGCCATCCTTCACAGATATTGATGACGCTTGTTCGACTCATTCATTCAGCACACACAGGTAAGCACACAACTCATTTCACCATTGAATTCTAATGCTACTACTAACTTCTTACTCTAGCGCATACAGGTACACGTGAGGACTCCATCGATCGTGACATTGACATCACTGGTGACGGCGATGACGAGAATGACAACGACAGCGATTCAATGCGAGGAGAAAACTTGGGACGTCAACACGTTCTTCGGCAAGTCCTATGCGCATAAGGTGGAGGATGGTAAGACAAGGAATGTATGAGACTGTGAAACTTGCAAGTACGTGATTTTTTCATTCTTCAAATCTTGACTCACAGAATTATAGGAAGAAGGGGTCACCCTCGCAAATAGTTAGTGACACATCAACATGCCGCCATCACCTTGCATTTCGCCATGCGGTAAGTTTATTTGTTATCTGTTCTTGACATCTTCATCTCACTTGCCATCAGGATGCTTACCACAAGTGGTGCAAGGCCAATAAATTCGCCTCAATGCTACCTCAAGATATCAAGGAGCGCAAGACTGCTGCTGCTGTTGTGAGTGTGCAGCAAGCTAATCTCGATGGCCATCTCCGTGAGATTGAGCCTCATGAGGCCATTATTCCCTACTCTGACTCACTGTTTCGTGACGCCGCTGTGGAATGGCTCATATCCACTGGACAGGTATGTTTTTCATTTATTTGATCTAATTCACTTATTCTAGTCCCTATCATAGCCCATCCAAGCTGTGGACCACCCTAGTTTCAAGAAGATGATAGATGTCACTTCACGTGCTGTGCACGGTGTCCACATACCCAATCACAAGGCTACATGGGCCGAAATAATGGACTTATTCAAGAAACAAATGACAAAGTTAAAGGAGCGCCTTAATGCAAGTTATTTTTTTATGTTTCTTTCTTCGCTACTCATTTCTTATATCACACAGAGTAAGATTGTCAAGGGCGAGGTTAACTTGACCTGCGATGCTTGGCAGGCAAGTAACATCGACAGTTACTTTGCTGTGACAGGTCATTGGATCAAGGAGGTGTCTTCAGTTACCTGGGACCTTCAATGCGCAGTTCTTGGGTTCACTCAACTCAACAATTCGCATAACGGACAGCGACTGGGTCAAGCCCTGTATGGTATTGTTGACCATGTTGGAATTGCACACAAGGTAAGCTCACTCAGTTCTTACCTTACATTTTCACTAATTTGTCATAGGTTGGCCATATTACGTGCAACAATGCAAGCAACAACAACACAATGCTTGATGAATTTGTGTATCGAATCAAGCAAGGCATCAGTCGAATGTGGATACCAGAGAAGCGCCGCATCAGGTAAGTTCACCTGTTACTTGTTCAGCATTGGCTAATATACATCACGAAGGTGCCTTGCTCATGTCATTCATCTCGCAACATGAGCTCTCATCTCTACCTACAGCAAAGCACCCTACTACAACCCTCAGCATGCAGACCTTTCTGTACCTCAAGAAAACAGTTGCTGTGACGAAGTTGGTCTCATTCGTGCCATCGCAGTCAAGGAATGATCTTCAGCTCAACACAAGCAGCTGTTCAAGGACATTCAAGCTCGTCCTCCCAACCCAAGTCCTGTTGTATCTCAGCTACTACTAGATATGCCTATCTGATGGTCATCTACGTACGTCATGCTGGACCACGCCGAAAAAAAGAAAGCGGTATGTTTTAATTAACAATGACATTTGTTCCGAGACTAACTTTCTTTGAGTATATCAACACATTTGTATACGAAGTTGGACTATGTGAAGGCAACCTCGCAAAACGTAAGAAAATTGACAAGTTGAGACTTAGTACGGCCGAGTGGGATTGTGTTAAGCTATTTACATCTCTTCTAGCTGTTTGTTGTCTATTCTTTATGTCCAACTGCAGTCACTGACTCCAAACTTGTATTTCAGCATGCCGACAATGCTCAACAGAGCTTCTCCTCAGATAGAGGTCCTTCCCTTCAACAAGCATTGCCAGCTCTCGAGGCATTACACAAGGCTTGGTCATCACGCTCCGCAAATCCAAGATACAAGGCTTTTCATATAGCATTGAATGCTGCTGTCGAGAAAATCAAGCAGTATTATGATTGAACTTCCGAGAGCGAGGCATATATTATGTCTATGTGTAAGTTAAGTTCACTCCAGCAATTCATACTCTCATTCAATCAAACTTTCTAGTGCTTGACCCTTCCCAGAAGGATACCCATTTCAAGAGATTTTGGGGCAAGACCTTGTTGGAGAGAAGGAGAGTCATTCCCTGCATTCAGACAGATTAACATTGTTTTGTTTTTTTTGGCTATTGGTCAACCTCGCCACTTCGTAGCACATGCTTCATCCTTGGCATCATATGGTTACACTCTTCTTGACATTCGAGCTCCGTCTCACTGTATCCTACAAGTATCTTGTCGCATCATTGTTTGTGTCCCTCAGTTGTTGTTCACCAATGCTGAGGTACACGTCTTGTTTATCTTGTTCTCGATCTCACACTTACTTGAGTCATAGCGTACTTTCTAACAGGTACTTTATAGTGAATATAGTTGTTGTTCACCAACGCTGAGCGTACTTTCTAACAGGTTATGAGCCCCGTGTCCTAAACGGCACGGAATCTAGAAAGACGAACTCCCTCTTGTTGGAACAACTCAAATCTTTAAATTCAACTTCTTCTCTGACGTGTCGCCCCAACAATGGGGAAATATGACCACATCCCAGAGTTGGCCGGAGCTGAAAATTATATTCCCTGGGAGACGCAGGCGCAGCTCGTCTTAACGAACGATGACCTCTGGTGTCATGTAACGGAAAATGCCAATCTGAATGATATTCTCGGAGCGGCTTTGTACTTGCCTGTCGCAGCTACTCCAGCGACTCCTACTGATGCCGAGAAGGCAGCTATGCGAGCCTGGCTTATCAACGACTCTAAGGCCAAGACAATCATCCTCTGCAAACTCGCACCGAGCATTCATCTTCTCATTCCTCGCAACACTTCGGTCACAGCGCGTGAGGCATGGAAAATCCTCAAGGACCACTTCCATCGTAACGATGTCAGTTCTCAATTTGTTGTCCGAAGACGTCTTCAGGCACTTCGCATGAAAGACGCACATGATGCGAACAACTATGTCGGTCAGCATATCAGTTGCCGCGATCGTCTTATTGGTATGGGTGCTGCCTATTCTGATGAGGAAGCAGTGTTCAATATCCTTTCTGGGCTGCCTTCGTCTTCTGCATGGCAACTATTCCACATGCAACTCGAGCAACGCATGCATGACAGCTTCTCTGCTACTGTTGTCAGTTCTGCGCTCAGCAGTGGGACTCCCATCTCTGCTTCATTCCAGACAAACACACTCATGTTCGAGAGCTG